CTCAGCAGTCGAAAGTTGGGTGGGATGTGGTGGAGTTTAAACGTTTTATTGTTTAAGGTTTTTACATTGGGATCTCTTCAGTGAGGACCTTTTAGAAAGGATCCGCTGGTGAAAACCAAGCCAGTGAAACACAGAGGTTGTGTTCATATTATAAAATTATACTATTGTGTTTTTCAATTCTGATAAAGGCAGTATTCAAATATTACAGAATACTTTAAGGAATATCATTTGCTAGACTAAAATAAGTATGCTGTAGGATTGACGAAACAGTTTGTAAGCAAATTAAAGAGCAATGAAGTGGGTTGATGTTTTGCCTAATGAATAAATGAAGCGAGATGTGAAGATTCAGCAAATTAGAAAAAAATAAGTCATAATGAGTGTTTGTCCTTCTCCTGACTGTCCTGAGGCTTATGAATACATATAGGTCTAGAATCTTGTGTGGGCTTTTTTTCTTTTCTGTCATTAGCTTAAGGCATCGTGTGATTTCAAGGGATATCAATGTAAAGTGTTCTCCACCAATGAGCATACAACACTAAACAAAAATTAGATGTATGTTTTATACTTTGCCTGGTTAGCTAAACCAATATCTCTAATTCGATTAAGCATTTTTGTCTTGGGAATTTACATAAATATTTTTTATTCCACTGGATATATTTATGTTAATGTAAAAAACGGATACTTTCCATTACATAAAATTAAAAAATTCAAACTTAAGTTATAAACACAATTATATTACCATTAATATTATTAGATTTGCATAATGCAGTTCTCTGTGCGCTCTATTTGCATGCATTTTAATGTTCATAGGTCATGCGATTAAAAAAAAACTGGACTGAGCTGAGTACAGTATTTGTTTGGTACATTGTGTGTCTCTGCAATGTTCAGCTTAACATGAGTGTAAAACTTGTAAAGTAGTATATAAGAGTGATATGAAGATGCCCAAGTAAGTTACCTCTGTATTGAGACCAGCTGTATATTTGTTTAAATAATCTGCATGTAGCAACCTGTCACGCTCTGGCTGGCATCCCACCCAGCTCCTGGCAACCAGTGATGTCAGTGAGCTGGGCGGGATGCTGGACAGAGCCGCAGGACCCAGAGGTAACACCAACAACCACCCTTTGGTAACGAGCATCCACCGCCAGCTCTGTGATACCGACAGCAGAGTGCAGCTTAGCAACAGACAGTTTGATCTCCCCTTTTAACCTTTCTACTACTTGTCCTAGTTGTGTGCATGTTCTATTACAATAGAGCTACAGATCAGAGTCACTGTCAGAAACTAACAAGAAGGGGGTGATTTACTAACCTAAACACACGCACGCACTAGGTGCGTGTTATTTTTACACAGCAAAACGTATTTATCAACCAAAAAGTCTCTAAAAGCATATTTCCACTAATGCCATATATGGAAAAATCATGCACATGATGCATATATAATGCTGCTTCACAGTTTAGACAAAAATGGTTAGCTCATGCATTTACATTCCTGCATTCATCAACGCAAGCAACACAATGTAGAGCTAATTTACACAACATCACCTTGCAATTCATGCAGGGCTTTGCACAACACACCTGCTGGGTGTGTACACACTACAAAGGTGTCTAGATTCCACCAATAGATCATGCTGGGAGGGAACATACTACAGAGGTGTATACTTGTTCGTGACGTGTTTATAAGGTTAGTAAATCAACCCCGAAATGTTCAATGTGATATGCCTGTAAGCACAGCATCTCATTTTACCTCTGTTTCATGTCCCATGTCAATATTATCTCTCATTTTTTCACTGGCATGTGCATCACAAAATATCTTTGTCCTACACTACAACCCTTTAATAGCCAAAGTGTTGTTTTTAAAGAACACAAAAACATCAGAACTACACTTAAAACCTTTAAAGGCAATGAAAAAATAAAAATTAATTATTTGTAGACAGTTACACATGATCTGGCAATGAGTAGTTCCAGAAATGGTGCTGTTAATGCCAGAGACAATGCTGCTAAAGCAAATAGTGTAGCACAGGGGTAGGCAACCTCAGTGCTCCAACTTTTTTGGATCTACAAGTCCAATGAGGCAGTGCAAGACTCTGACGGCCAAAGGTATGACTCCGGAGGCATGAACAGAAATCAGTGATAAAATGGTCCCTGGCATTTGCAAGCATGGCATAGTGCCCCGTAAGGTTTTGACCTACACAGAATCTATTTAGGTGGTGCCATGGCAACATGGCTTACTTATATGTGGAGCACCAATGCTGTTCATAAAAGGGATGTCTACACTGTTTATTGCTCTGGGGTTTTCTGTAGTCTGCTGCTGCTATACATCATTTCAGTTTTATCGTATAGGGAAAATGTATATTTGGCTTTTTTTCCCAGCACTGTAAGTGTAGTAACTTCCAGTATGCATTTTCAGAGAAGCACATCAAGGAAACTCCTTCATGAATCATTCCTAAATTTTCAGCACTAAATTGCATCTTCTCATGCCTTGGAATGCACATTAAGAACTTCGCTATTGAAACTTTTTCATGTGGAAGGATTACTAAGTAAATTCAGTAAATGTCCATTCATCTCAGTAAAATAGAGAACTATCCAAGCATAAAATGTGGAAATCTGCACAGCTTTCTATACAGAGGAAGATTTTTTCTTATAGTTGCCAAGTGGAGATGCAAAGCCTGACCCTGAAAGGCATTTAAGCTCACATGAGTAAACAAGGAAAGAGGGCCTCACTCGTCTCAACTCATCAATTTACGAATTATAGTGGGAGGAAATCTCAGTTCCTTCTGTCTAAGTTAATAGTTAACAGATCATTTATTAGGTTGCTAATTTTATAGTATGGTCTGAGACCATAGTGAAAATGAAATAGGCTGCTATGTATTTTTGCATTGAAAGAGTCTTTCTAGCTAAAATACATTTTTTACTAATACTTCTGTCGATCCACAAAAGAAGTCCCATGCTTCTGTTACTCCATTACATCAAAACCAGAAATTTTAGATTGTAGCATCACCTGCAGGTAGAAATCAGTATTTTGCCATAACCAGTATTACATCCTTAGCCAGTATTCAGTATTTTGTCATAGCCATTCCAATGTATGTACTTCTATCTAATCAATCTATTCTGCAATAAACAGAATGGACTAAGAAAACTGATACCAATAATAATAATAATACAGACGTAAATCCAATATGGTCTGTACACAGCCCAGTTTCTGCTATGTACTTTAATACAAACCATTTTTTTTAGCTGTTCTTTAGTTCTTCTGATTAAAAAAGTTACGCTTACATATTTGTTGAGTTGGGACTAAAAAGTGCAGTTGCTAGTAGAGGTGTAAAAAAAAGCATGTACAAGATACAAAAACAAATTCTAAAAAGTAAAGTTTAGCACTTACTGAATTATGGTGTCATTATACTTTCACTTTTCTTCAACCAAACCATGTGAAGTTGTTGATTATTTCCAGCATCTGAAGAGTAGTCCAGAGACTTTCAGGGTTATTCACAAAAGGGTGAAGAGTTTGGAGAAGGCAGGAGAAGTAAACAATCTAGGACAGCATAGCTGAACTAGAAAGTGAGCTGAATTGGAGAATTTTTCCAAATCAGTTATTTTGGAATAGATTGTTCACTTCTTCTGCCTTCTCCAAACTACTCACCCTTTTGTGAATAATCATGTTTCTCTTTAAGGTATCCCCCAAGCATATTATTGAAAGGATTGTGTGTATTTTTTAAGTTTGCCCTTGAAGCTGCATTAAAAGACCCTCTCCCCAATATACAGTATTTTTATTTATTTATGTTTACCTTTTTTTTTTGCATGTCTCCATGGCAGTGCCCAGCTTCCCATGGCTTTTTTTTTTACAGTAGTTTGCCTATTAGACCTAAAAATGGCCAGTATTCAACAACAAAACCCTTATAGACCTCAAAAGGGTTGTCCCCTGGTGTGCAAGACTTTGGACAAGACGCATTAAATCTTTGCTGAATCAAATGGGCAGGTTTGTCCATCACTACTAGGAGGTCAATGGAAGTTCAGCCTGGAACCAGTTTTAGATCAACTACTGCAAAGAAGCCTCAGGGCAGCTGCTCTTGGTGGCAGGGACTTTTAGTGTACCTGACAACATCTTTGTCTAGGTTTGAGCATTCATAAATGCATAATTAAGAACATCATTTAGAATTGAGTGTATATTGTTTTCACAACAAAATTACTACAGTGCAGTAGGGATGCACAGATACCAAGTACCGTACTTAGTACAAGTATAGATACTTTTCCAGCTCCACGACTAGACTAGAGCTGTCATTTTTAAGAAGTATTGGCTACCTAACAGATATCAATTACTGATACCATTTTGTTTATTGTGACATTATATATGTGACAGTTTTTCTAAAACAATACAGTCTAATGATTTCAGGACAGTGGTGGACACCAGGGCACAGTCACACCTGCAAACACTGCAACCCTGGTAGTTCTCATGAAAATGCCAAGTATCAACACTGGTATCTGAAATGGTATCTGTGCATCCCTACAGTGTAGCCTTTTTAAAAGCATATATTCCAATGACTGTGCTGTTTTCTTCATTGCCACTTTAACTTCCTGAATGTCACCCTTTCAGTTCTTCGTAACTCATTTAAACCACAAGTTCTTCAAGCAATAACAATGTATCATCTTTATATTTTACAATCTACCCTTACATGCTATTCAAAAAGTCTGTAGTATCTGTGGAAACCGTTGATCTCTTTAGACCGTACAGTACAAAAGCTGAAGAACATAACTGCAAGGCTTTTAAGTGTTATAGATGTTACAATAACTTATAACATGTTTCAAGGACACCTTCATCAGGGCATTCATAATGGCAGTCCAATTGGTAGTGAAACATTCCATAAATCATCATTGTGTTTACAAGACCAGTGCTGTGCTTGTCTTGTTCTAGTTTATTACAACATTGTAAACTAATGGGCACCTCCAATAAACATTCAGCTCCATGTATCAGGTTTTATGACCTTAATCTTTTGTATCTTCTCTCTCTACAGGACAAATGACCAATTGGTGGCTTTCCTCTCAAGATATCGGGATATGAACTTTTTGAAGTCACATGGCAGAGATAATGCAAGGTAATTTTAGGTGAAAAGCTACTGGACTATAGTAGTACTTCTTGGTTTTGTCTTAAGTAGTTTGATAATTAACATGTATGCTAGAATAATTTAATTGGAAGGTAGACAATGCCACTGCCAGATTTACAAGATTCTGTGAATATGATTTTCCTTCAAAATAAGCTTTCCCGATGTAAAGAAAGCAAATATTACATTGAAAATGGACTTCTCTATCATTCTTTATTTTAGGCAGTATAAGTTTAAAAAATAGTGTGATGGGACACACTGCCTAATGTCAAGGGAAGAAGGGCCTACTTAATTTAAAGGAGAACTATGAGGTGAGTGATTTACACTCACCCTCATAGTTAGAGCCGACGTGTGACATTGAAACTGTCACACGCCGACTCTATAGATCGGGAACACATACTGTCTTTTGGTCACTTCCCGATCATCTCTCTGCAGAGAGCGATGACTGTCAGTCACCGCTCCCCGCAGGGATTCCCCCCTCTCCGATCCTCCAGCGCTGACAGAAGGAATGGACGGGGGAGGAGGCGGGCACAGCTGTGTTTGCCTTTAGATAGGCAGAGCCTGCTCTCAATCAGCCAGCGGGGTGGATCTCGACAGTATTGTCGGGATCCGGCTGCGGCGCTCTCAACATATAGCAGGCAATAGCCTGCTATGTACTGAGCTTTGGGTCACGGAAGGATGTTAGTTAGTATGTGTCCTACCGTGACCCCAAAGAGAACAATGGGATAAAAAGGTTACCCCATAGTTCTCTTTTAAAGGCATACTTCATTAATAACTACAGTTATTATTCAACACATGTAAATATACTGTATAGACTGGTTTGTATTTTAAACTGCCTCTATTTGCAGTGTATGTACAGTTTGGGGTCTTGTGTCTTTTTTTGGGTCTGCTTTTCTCAGAAGTTTCACATTTATAGAGACATTAGACATTTAGGTCCTGCCCACAGCAACTTCATGCCACACCACCAGAGATATCAGGCATTCATTATGCATTGCTAGTGTGCAAAGTCCCCAAGCTGTTGCTTTGTGAGGACCATCTCACCCTCTTATGGAAGATAGTAGAGCTCTAGAAGGAAATAAAGACCTAAGGTACACTGTCATTTCTGTGATGCCCTGTTGGAATAATATTCCCCTTTAGTGCAGACTGCAGAATCTTTTTTAGCAACAGGTAACAGCACACAGATGTGCAATGAATTATCCTGCATGGTTAATTATGAATAAACATTACCATTGGAGCTCACTGGTTCAGTACTTAAAGTTATTATGCAATAAGTTTCACAAAACAGGCTTAACAGACTGCTAACAGTTTGTGAGTGCTGACATTGGTAGAAGGCAGGTTTTTGTCTCTTGTATGCATTGTACAATTATTAGAAGATTTATACGACAGTTATCAAAATATTCAACACTCTTTTTCAAGCTTGAATAATTATAATAAACATAACAATTCCACAATTAAACACTGTGTACCTCAACTACCTTACAATAACATCTCCCATGTAGCTTAAGCTAGATAAAGACATCAGTGAGTCATGTGTGTATATTGTGACCACAAGTAATTCTAATGATTGGGCAATTGTGTGAAGATTTTCCACTTCTTTAGTACATCAGCCCTACTGTCTAGTGATCAGGCAGATTGACACTAAACTGTAATATTGAAATCTAAAATAGTGAAGCCGCCTTCTTGGCCGTCTGATGTAGCAGAGGTATATGAATCACAGGAGCAACTGAACAGCATTATAAATCCTTTGGCAGCTAACTCAGTTGACATCTGTGTATTTAAGTTTTGTATTTAGCTCTTTGGCTTTAGTTTTGGCAAAACTACATTAAATCATCTTACATGTTCTGCCATCTTTTGTATTAGGAACTCCAGTGCTAAAATCTCTGCACATGAGTTCCCTGGTGTGCACTCCCATGTCCCATTTTGCATAATAAGTTTTAGTTTATTCTTAAATCGGCACTAAATGCAGAAATGAAATAATAAAATTAGCTTCTATTATTTAAATAATAAATGACTGTGTACCTTTTTTGTCATTGATCAGCTCTAAATGCTCCAAAATCTGTTTTGAATTAAGGTGGCTACTTTTCTTCTCCATGGTCCCTATGGATTTCCCCATGGATTTCTTCAGCAGCAGGCTATGTTTCTCTTCCACACTAATATATGTTCTTTGATTTCTCTCCTCCTGGCTTACCAAGGAGGGAGTGTGGGGTGAGCTGCTTGTGATCACTGCCTGTCACAATCTGGGATCAGGCTCAGAGTTCAGTAGCTGAAACAGCAGGCAAATTCGTGGTATAACAGGCCGAGTTTGGTACACAAGCAGACGGTAGTAGTATAGGAGCAGGCAGAACGTAGTCAGGGATCAAGCCAAGGTCAGTAGCCAAAGGTATCAGGTATGAAGTTGAAGACGATGAGAGTAGTTGGTGAATCAGCAGCCAAAGGTCGGTACACGGGTAGCAGTATGAGAGGATTGTATCACAGAGGGAGCAAGATATTGGCAGGAGCACAATAATCTGGCAAACAGGAAGTGCAGAGGCGTGGCTAATATAGGAAGTTCAAGGGAGGAGCAAGGAGTTCAGGTTTACCTGAGGATTACACCTGAGAGCAGGCAAGGAGCTATCCAAGGTTTCAGAGTGGCCCATCAGGTAGAGCCACCGCCAGACACAGCAGAGGCCTTGGGATGACATCCTGACACTGCCTTTTTTTACAAACTTTCTGAAGAGATTCATCATGTGAGCTGTCACCAGCCTCATGCTTTCTTCTGAATCTCAGCTCAATGCTGAATTTGGTCACACACTCACAGAGGATATGGCTCCTACATTTGCAATAAAGTTGTTTTTCTGTGTAGATTGTTGTAAATGTGATTGTTTGTTGTAGACTTGTAAAGCTGTTGTAAGAAGTTTTGATAATTCAAAGCATTGCAGAGGAGCAAGCAGTGAAGCTGTCACAGTGTGTATAGTGGGGAGGTGAAAGGAGGCAGCAGTGTGCAGTGAGAGATGATTCCTCTCTGCCTCATGTGAGTTATAGGCAAAGAAAGATGTGCATGTGCCCAGAATCAGTGTGCACAGCTCTTACTAAGTGACAGGAAGTGTCATTGGAGAGAAGAGCAACGGGAGCAAGCACAGCAGATTTTCTAAAGGGATTAAAATAGTAAGACTTTATTTGAAAACATAAATAAATGTGGCGTTGGAGAATGTTCATTGTGTAGATGTGTACAAGGAGAAAAAAAACTGAGGGTTTGTTGTCACTTTAAATTGTGCAACTGAGTAAGGACACCTGGAAGTAACCATTAATCATGTTGCAGGATGAGTAAGACTTTAACATAGCTGGGAACTATGTCAAAAAGAACAGGACAGGTGACTCCTTAACCTCCCTGGTGGTATGACTTTTTCTTTTAATTTTTTCCTGTTTTCGTTCTATTTTTATTTATTTTTTTAAACTTTTGAATCTCCCGCCGGTTCCGCCCCCCTGCGACGAGGATGCTCGCAAGGGACGGAACCCGGAAGACGGATGCCGGCATCGGCCGGAGGACACAGCGCGGCTAGAGGGACAAGGTAAGAGACGCGCTGTGTATTCCCGAGTGTGGCTCGGGGTTACCGCTTATGGTACAGAAAATTAACCCCAAGGCACACTCGGGAATACCGCCATGGAGGTTAATATACCTTTAACTGAAATATCTCTTTTGGATGTACTGACCCTTTAATATTCATGCCAACCGAATACAGTTATAAAATGAAAAAATATATGTATAGATAACCTTTAAAAAGAAAACTCCTTTACGAAACCTCTAATGGAAAATCTGGGTAACGGGGACGAGCACATATTCAGTGTATGCTTCCAGTACAAATCTTTAGACTTTCTCAATGTAGCTGCTCTTCAATATACTTACAACTCATAGATTTCTTTTTTCATATTTTTATCGAATTTATTTTTGCATTTACTCCAAACCACCTTGTCCTACTTAAAAAAAAACATGGACATGTTGAAGAGCACCTTCACTAAATATTTTAGCGAGAACAGATAAAAGACAAAGATAAAGGTGAAAATGGTCCTTCATCTCAGCATGATCAACATTATTTCCTTGAGACATGGGATGCATTAACAGCAAAAATTGCATACATGAGTTAACTGTGGTAGACTACATCTGCAAGATCTTTTCCCGGGCCTCTTTGCAGGTTGTTAAAACCTTAGTGAAATCCCCCTAGCTTTCTTTTATTTAGAAGGTGGAACAGCTCTAATCTTAATGCTACCAGAGACAGAGAAAATGACAGTCCTGCTATATGTTATTTTATAGCCGATATCAGTTTGATGTTGAACAAAATGGACGCCTCAGAGAGCGTCAAATTTTATCCGTGTATATTATAATTTTTGTTAGCATAGTAATGTCTTACACGTCCCTAGTCACCTACAATATGAGTACGTTTTAATGAGAAAAATAACAGTAAAACAAGATGCAGCCAATATAGCGCAGCTGGGTAACTCCTATAAATTAGATGCTTTCATATGCTACAATTACACTACCAGGAATAGACAAATCTGTTAGGATGCATAACGTTAGGTCATATATGATGTTATTTTAAAAATGTATTCTGCATCCACTGAGATAACAGCATATTGAATAACTTGAGTTTTAATGTAGATGTCTGTAAACGTCCAGTCTAAATTGGATAGTAACAACTGGCAGACATTTTTGCTGTAGCAGCAAGCTATACAAATGACATACTACAGTGTTTTGTTTTTTTTTGTTTTTGTTTTTTTGTTGAAGAAGCTGCAGGGCTAGTAATTCTAGTCTTATAGGAAACATTTGCTAGGACAATGTTGAGACTGCCATGTTGAGACTGCCATTGCTGACCTCTACTTTCAGAGTTGTTGCTAGTAAGCTTGCTTTCATGATGATCAAAAGTATTCAGATATTCAGAGTTTACACAGACTTTACTTCCGCCATGCTTTTTCCTGGTCCGTGACTTAGTAAGTAATGATATCAGAGACAGCCAGGCAGC